TAAGTTTAAGTTCAGAATTTCCTGGTTACTAAAATCAACAAATCACCTTTCATCTTGGAACAATTCACAAGTATAGTGTTTTTAGTTCACAACTTCTAACTTTTGTGAATGTGGACATAAGAATCAATACTGCATGGTTACTATCAGTTTTATGCTTCAGTACAATTTTCAGGCCAAGTACCACTACTCCTTTACTGAAGTGTGTATGTGTGTGTGTGTATATATATATATATATATATATATATATATATATATATATTTATTAAAGACATTTTTTATGTTTAACAATGTTATTTAATTTTAATTTTCATGGAAGATTGAAGTTTATAAGCAGTAAATTCGACCTTGTCTACCGAAAAGGTTCTTTGTAGCCCAGAGGTAATAAATAACAACGTTAAACATAAAAAATGTCTTTAATAAATAAATTGTCGGACCTTGTCCATTTCTTAATATATATATATATATATATATATATATATATATATATATATATGGTAGACTGTGCATATAGGTTATTGGGAGGATAAGGTAAGTGGAGGAAGAGGAAACTGACAATTCTCAATTCTTTTGTTTAGGGATAATGCTTAGGATTATATACAATCTGCTGAAGAAGCAGTCGCACTTAGTCTGAAGATTGTATTGAAGTGCGAAACTGACTGTCACTGGTAGGCAATAAAGTATGATAGATCAAATGGTGTTTTCTGCTACAAAAAAGATGCAAATTCAATCCCTTCTGGAGAGCACATTTTTTTTTTATTGATATGTCATGAACATTTAGACTGATAGATGTAATACACACTGTTTAAAATAAAAAATATATATTCACATGCACATACATAGTTGTGTATTTGAGCAGTAATCCCTCTTTAATACATATCTTGTTTAGTTTTTTTTTATAATATTTTTCTGGACTTTATGACTGTAAAAATTCTCAAAATGTTTGTTTGTTCTGAGCACTTTAAGCTAAATTTTCAAGAATTATTTTTAATATTTTATTTTATTTTTTTTCCCAATTTTCAGATAAGATGCTGAGTATCAGAACTGAAATTGTGGATAAATTATCCAACATTCATGTTTTGTTTTGTTCAAATGTTTTTGATTGTCTCAATCATTATCAAAAACTGGGTTTTGTCAGTATGATTCAAATTCTAGAAACTATTATAATACAAAAGAAATAACCCACACTTCAGCACAGAAAACAGTTTTGAAGTGTTTATAAAATATTTAATGTGTATAAAATAATAATATGTATAAATATTTTATAAATAGTTTTCTGGTACAATCTAGTTCTGTGTAACTATTTTGAACATTATGTCACTTTGGTTTAATTTGAATCCCAATGTTCTGCAAAAATGCCAGGATGTATGCAGTCAACAAAAACTTGTCTACCACACTGACCATACCCAGTTCTCAATAATGACTGAGATGACCAAAATTATTTGAACAATAACAGAACAAAACATGTATTTCAGACAGTTGATCCTTAATTTTGATCTTCATGTACATATTATTCAAAAATTGGTAAATTACAATATAAAAAGTAAATGCAGATCTTGTCAGTTGAATTTAACAAAACTAGTTTTGGAGGTATACTTGCCATATATATATATATATATATATATATATATATATATATATATATATATAATGTTTTTGTGTGAGAGAGTAATGCATCTGATGAATTAAAAGCTACACTTTTTCTCTCTCCTCTCCAAATCTATCTAATCATCACATTACAATCAATATACAGATAGTGTGGGTGAGAAACCTAATATTGAACATTTTAGTTATACATTTAAGGTGTTTGTATACTTTGCAGTAAACAATAATTGAATACAATGCATAAATTTCTTATATATATATACACACACACATATATATATATATATATATATATATATATATATATATATATATATATATATATATATATATATATAAGAGAAAGAAATAACACCTAAAAACAAAACCTCTCTTGAAAATGTCTGAAGTGATGAAAAGTGCTTGAACAATGGACAGTACAGACAATTTTTGCACTCCCTTACTTCCCCAAACAGAAAAATGTCAGAATGTTTGATAAATAAAACAATATATATATATATATATATATATGTAATTTTATGTGTGTCGTATTAATAATAGCAGTAGTATAGTTATGTGTACAGAAAATAGAGTTAGTAAACCATGTTTAAAAGTTGTCAGAAGTTGTTTCATTTCATTCAATATTAATATTCTTGGGGAAGGCATGAATTCATATCCCTCTGCTTTGTCTTGACCCTGGTGTACCAACCATGATCATTGACAGAGGAGAGAATGTGTGAGTGACGACTTGAGTAAAACATTCTCCCATAACTCTCCAGGCAGTAATAATTTTGTTCTTGGATGTTTTTTATATTTTTTCTTTTTTTCATTGAAATCAGTTGTTCATAAAAATATAAAAACTACCCTAATAGTTAAAAGGTTATCAGTTGTAAAATTTTTTTTGATGTTCAGAGGTATTTGTATTTGAGTGTTTTACCTTTACCATCAATAGATATAAAACTCCATTAGATTGAAAGCTGTAAATGATTTTTTTTAAATTTCTTTGTCTATTATTTTTTATTTCAAAGGAAAATAATAACATTTTGCCTTCTTTTGCTTGTTTTTGTTACTTTTTATCTTGGTATATTTTAACATTAAATTATACATATATCCTTGTTCCCAAATGAGGTAAAGAAAAATATATGAAATTATGAAAAAATATTATATGAAATTATTTTGGAAAATCTATTGAAAGAGTCATTTCAAAAAGATGCTGGAGGGTTTGTTTGTTTTTGACGTCTGTTTTTTTTTTTTTTTTTTTAACTCATTTGGGAACAATAAATAAGCCCATTATTCAGTCATATTTTTTTTCACAGAAATGTTGTAAAATATTTGGTGAGAATCAAATTGCTAAGAGGCTGTATTCCCAAATAATTGAAGAAACTTGAAACTATTTTTATTATATTTACAAAGCGAAAAAAATATTCATATCTCCACTCTTAGAGATTTAAGTGTAAGTGTGTTTTTTTCTGATTCTCTAAAAGGTTCAGATTTTGCATAGCATTATTTTTAAAAAAAGTGATATTTTTACTCTGTTCTCACACTTTGCTTGCATTTATTACATAACCGATTCCTATTGTTACAGATGCACACCATTTCACATAATCATATACAAGAAAAAAAATTTTCCAGCATGAAACTAAAATATTAAAGAAGCACTTAAAATGTAACTCTCCATTAGTCTTTCACATTTAAAAAAAATCACCAAAAGATATTTACACCACTTTTATTTGGAGATTAACATGATATATATATATATATAGATATAGATATAGATAGGTAGTTAACTGCATGGAAAATGAAATTGATGAACAGAGTTCAAATTCCAGTTGAGACAGTTTGCATTCTTTTCACATAAAAGACATGAATCTATTTCTTCTCTCTCTCAGCTATAGGTTAAATAGCTGGACTGACTGGGCTCACTTGCTTTGGTTGATCACCAATCTGGAAGCACAAATGAATTCAAAACCATGGAGAAAGCAATGAGAAACCACTGCATTGACTTTCTCAATAACAATCATAACAATGTACAATTTAGATATAAAAAAAAGATGTAGAGAGACATGATTGTATCTTGAAGATTTATGACACTTAAAGACAATGAAAAATACTTGGTCAAATAAACTTTTGTTTTATAATGTTTATGCATCTCTTTAGATATTGAGGGATTTTTCTGTTCTTATTTTTTTCCCTTTTTCTTTTCTGGTTTCATGTTCTTGTTTTGTAATTTGTATTTTACTCCTTACTTTGTCAGGAAAAAAAAAAGTTTCCCTATCTCAGACACCAATAATTTACTTTCTTGATTTAATAATCAACTCAAAACAGAAACTACATTTGTCAGAATCAAATCCATTTATTTTTGTCCCTCTGAAAAAGTTTCTCATTATCTACAATTCTGCTTTTCAATTATTTTGTAGAACTTTTTAGATTGAGAAAGAGAATAAAAAAGAAATATTAATTACTTTCACTGACATTCCCATATTCTCAGAGACTTAATGATTGCTAAGAGCAAACAACAGTCAGTCATGCAAACATTTCCTTTTTAGTTCATCTGTTCCATTTTCACAGAACATATCTTCTTTTTTTTTTTTTGCTATTTTTCTTTTATTTGTATATGATTGTTTCATTACTGTAAGCAATACACTGTTCTATATTTAGTTAGATTATTTTGTAAACCCAGAAAAGCTGAGACATTATTAATATTGAAATGTTTTGCTTTGATTGAAATTGAAAAATGTGTGCCTATATTTTTTATTAGATAAGTTTTATTTGTGTCTGATATTCATACACAAAGTCTAAAGTCCCCTAAACAACAATTACTTTGTGGTTTGAAATAAAATTTGGTCAATGTTTACACTTTGTGCTATTTAGTTTAGAAGAATGTTTTGAGAAGAATTCTATTTTATGAGATGTTACAGAGCATACTTCATTGTGAAGAAATTAGTTGACCATATTTGACCATTAGTATTGTGTAGGGAGTTTCATTCTTATTGAGTTTGAGCCTCAGTTGTAACCTTGTACCAGAGTAAATACCATAACAGATATTTAAATTTTTTTTCTGAAAGCAGGATATCTGTAAAATATATATTTGCATTAATGTAAACAAGTTAATTGCAGACAATTCAGATAATAATACAGATAACAACATATCAAATATGTTGACAGTTTTGATTTTTCATCTCATCTGAGCTCCATTTAATGTGAAACAGGTGTGTTTTTTTTTGTTTTTGTTTTTTTCAATAGGCACTTAAACATGATTCAATTTATGATTAATTTGCAGTGAGGAGAACCAATTAATCATAAATAAAACATAAAATTTTGATTCTTGATTATATTCACTTGAATCAATCCAGTGATGTCTTTAAATTTTCTCATTTTTTTTTTCCTCAATATCTTTGCAGGTAGTTTAAATATCAATCATGACATTAGAAAGGAACATTCTTCCAGAATACAATGCTACTGACGGGCCGGCCATGACAACCAAAACTGCTGTGTTAGATATTCCTAAAAAGGATGAACCTATTAATAGCCGGAACAGCCCAAGTACACTTAATGTGCTTACAACAAGCACGGACTTGGAGTTCTCCAACAGGTAAGAATTGCAGTATGATGACCTCCTAATCCCATCATCACTGATCATCATTTGTATTTCTCTGACTTTTTACAATGTTTTCTTAATCTTTATTTTTTTTCCTATTTTTCCATTTTTACCTTCAGATGACATAATATTGGCAATTTACTAAATCATTCACATTTCTAATTACCTTTGTTTAACAATCTGTTAATTTTTAGCAGCTGCTAAACTTGTTTATTATTTAGGCCACCAACTTAGATCTTTAATTTATTAATAGAAAATTTTCACTTTTAGAAATTGTTAATGTTTTTATTCTGCTGTACCTACATAAGTTATTATACTGTTCAGAAGGTCCACAGAAAACCCAGATCTTTTAATTCTCATACACATCTTCTATGAACCCTGTCCCTTTAGGGCATGAAAAATTATGTTTCTCCACAACTTCTTTTCCTTTATAAGTCTTGATAAGTTTCGCCTCAAAGCCCTATTCTGCCAAACATAAACACAAACTCTTTTAGGTGGATTATTTGTTACTTTCTTCTGTCTCTCTTGCCTTTTCTTCAAGTCATATTTCCTCATTATGTTGCCTAGAAATTTCAAATATTATGATTAAAACAGTCCATAAAGTTCATAATTCTCATTCACTGACTGATATTGCAGAATTAAATTGCAACCGAGCATTCAATCTTAGTTTAACTGAGTATTTCTAAACTCTTTTCAAATACATCATGGGTATTTTTTAGATTTGCAGGAAATTAAACTAGTTTCTTAATTTTCATTTTGATTATGCATAACCATCATCTAAAGTATAATATATAAATACCACTTATATAATCCAGCATTGTTTTTTCATATAAGTCAAAGCAGAAAATGACTTGTTTGTTTGTTGTACAATTTTTCTTTAAGTCCTAACATTCAATAGCAATTCAGTGCATCTGATTTTATAATGTTGTTCTAGAAATGATCCAGCTATTCATTATTAATGAAAAAGTAATCTAGCTAGAGTAATGGTACCTTTATTCCAGCATCTTTTACATTACTGCAGAATGTTTCAAAAAGTTCTCTTTAGAGATTGCCATCAGCTGTTCATATTCTCCTTAATCTCATCTATGGGAGGCTTGTGACCACATCATGTTGAAACTCTGGTTCCCATACAATCACTGAAGTTAAGCAATGTCAAGCCTGGTCAGTAACTAGATAGGTGACCACTTGGAAATACCTTGGATGTACAGGTGGTGTAATGGATAATGACTCAAAATAATTAATTGGAGAGTTGAGGTTCAATTCCAGTTGGGTTTGTTATTTTCACTTACATGCAAGTACCTTTGGGAAATGTATGAATGTTCCTCTTCTCCCCATCAGCTATGGGTTAATTAGTAACACTTGTATCACTAAAACTATTATCTCCAAAAAAATAAAATTGTGTACAAAATACTTTTGGCATTAAATAATCCATAGAGATTAATATGTCACTAAACAAAAACAATCAATCACCCATGGACTGAAATCTCATTTTCAATGACAGGTTTGTGGATGAAAAATGAGCTCCATTCTTTAGACTTTTACTGCTAGAACATGCCATACAACTTCAATAGACTCAAATTACTCTTATTTTCCAAATGTAAGAACAATGTTCCACTCAGACAACTTTTCTCCACTTTGGGTAACTGACTCGCACATGGGTACTTCCCTAAACATCTTCAAGGCAAGGATCAATTGTTATCTATCCTTCTTATTCTCATTATCTTCACTTTCTACCTTGAGTGGCTATTAGATGAGAAATTTAGTATTATAGAAAAAATAGCTATAAATTTCAAGGATTTAAATCTGGACTTTAGTATTTGGTTAATGCAAAAAAATCCCTGGAGAAGTTGTGAAAAATGGGTGAGATATTCAAAATGGTTGGATATTTTGCAGCATTCTGAGGAATCCCCATATCTTTTAATTCTTACACTGTCAATTGCTGATTTCCTTTGGTTACAGCCCACATGACTTCAACATTTTCAGGTGTTCTGCTTGTTCAACAGATTCTCTCCTATGTTTATAGCATTGGTAATAAAATTTTATCTAGATTTTGTTCATAAAATTGTCCATAAAAAGCCTTGAATAATTTCTTCCAAAAAATGTCCAAGTTTCAATTTCAGATTTGATGTGTATTTGCTGTGAATACAGTGGATGTATAAGTGGTGTAATGAATAACAACTCAGAATGAGAAAATGGAGAGCCGAGTTTGAATTCCAGTAAAGTTCATTACATTCACCTATGTGTAAATACACTTGGCAAAGGTGTGAATCCATCCCCTCCTATCATCTATGGCTTAAATAGTAGGACTTGTATCTGTAAAGATCATTGTTATCTCCAAACAATTAATATTCACTTGTAAACAAAAAAAATAGAATTAATCTTACAATCCAAAATATGTTTTTGCTTTAAATAAGCCCCCAAAAAGGTTGATAAGGTGTAAAAAAAAAAAAATAATAATATGGTCAATATATCAATCAGTCGCTGTGAATGCAACAGTCAAACAGCTCACTCAATGATATCTTACTCAAGAATGGGTGTCTGCATGAAAAGTAATTAATGAGAGACACACACGCACACACAGAGTGACCACCCATGTACACATTAACTGAAATTCCATGTAAATAAGATTGAGAACAATATTCCAACAATTGAAATTTAATAGTTGTGTATTTGGACAGAAAACCCTATTTAATACATATTTTGTTGAACAAGACTGACAAAGTACTCTTGTTTTATTTATTATATTTTTCTTGTATACATACAAGTGTCTTCTTTTTAGGACTTAATGAATGTAAAAATTCTCCAAAAGTTTGTTTGTTCTGAGTGCTTTCAGCTAAACTCTTAATCATTTTCAAGGATTATTTTTTGTTACACTACTACAGTAAATGATATGTAAGTACTGCTGTAGATAATATAAAAGATGCTGAAAGTAGATATATTCTTAATTTCCAAATATAGCCAGTACATTATGGCCATATTTATAATTAATGTTATTAAGTGTTGGTTTCTTGTTTTTTTTATAAGGGCTTCCATCAATTTTAAATGCTTTTTGCAGTAGGAGGTATGTATCACATCTGTATTCTGGGCAACATTTATTTGAAGTAAGGTGGCTAGATTGAACTTTAAGTAGTTGATTGTATAATATTTGAAAGACCAGCATTATTAGGTTTTAAATTAACTTATTTTCTCATTAGTCACCTAAATTAGCCGAGCTTATTTTCAAAATAGCTTCAAAAAGTCTCAAGTAGCAAAATTCAAAGTTTATTTTTCAAAAGTAGCCAAATCTAGCAAATCCTGATCAGAAATATATACCTTTATTTCCAGTAAATATTTTATTAATAAATATTAACTGAACAATGCCAAAAAATAAAATGCTAAATTAGACATTAAATTTTAAAGATTATTTATTCTGTATTTTTTATCTGATCCACTCATAAAATGAACATTTTAGGAGAGGATCACATAGAAAATATAGAATAAATAATCTTTAAAATTTAATGTCTAATTTTGCATTTTATTTATTTTTATTTATAGATATATACTACCAATAACAATATTCATTAAAAAGAAAAGTTCTTGAATATTACTTGCTTACTTTTTGCCAGACTTTAAATTATGACACTTTGTGTCCTCCATATGTTTTGACTGACCTTTCAACCACTTGATGAACATTCATTAACACTCTCAAAATTAAAAACCTTGATAAACTAATTACATCCTTGCTTTTGTATATAAACACATGCAACAAAATAAATTCTACATTGCCTTGATAAAGTCCCCCAGAGGACGAAATGTGCTGGCTAAGGATAGTTTTCTTCTCATTTCTTTTTATTCATTTTGTTCCTTTACAGAAAAAATCTGAAAATCATTTACATATATACAACTGTAAATATTTCTTTTTAATTTTTGTTTTTATTTTAAATACACAATGTCTTTATTTTCATTTGAATTTACTTTCTAGAATGACACCAATATATGTTTCCTACATTTATATGTAAAAAACAAATTAAAAAATTTTAGAATCTAATGTTTCTGGAAAAAAAAAGAAAACCTTATTTACTTTGAAAATTAATGGCTGCATTGATTTTAGACAAATGATACAGTTCAGCTCAATTTCATTGTCATAGATTGAGGTTAAGAAGACAATTTTAATCTGCTGTTTAGTTCTCAGTTTCAGTAAATGATAGACAAACAATATATTCATTAAGCTACTGTTTTGCTACTTGGATATCTGGTGAAATTGAAAATACTATAATATTTTTTATGCTTTTAATTATTTGAATTAGTCACATATGTTTTATGTTTGTTTTCTTTTCAAATAATATTTATGCATTAAACTCATTTAAACATTGAAAAGTAAATTTAAGATCCTTTAATTTTTATTACATTTTTAACATGATGTCACTTTAAAGGAAATTGAACACAGAGTAAGTGGCACTTTGCCCAACACTGTAAGATGTTACAAAACCAAAACATTGATCTGAAAACAAGTTATGTTCTTAAATAACTTCAACAGATTGAGGTTCTCATATGGATATCATGCATGGCATCCAACTCATTCAGAAATATTTAAATTTTACTTGTATACAAGCTTTTTTCTAATGTCACTGATTAAAAATAGCTTCAAATAAATAAATCCTTTAAATCATAAAGATGGTGTGGCTTCATCAGATCCTATAGACTGGCACTACAAAATCACAAAGAGATTTACCAAATAACAAAAAACCACATCACTTGAAGACTTCCAACAGCAGCAACAGCAAAAATGAGTAGCATATATAACTAGAAGAGAAAATGATATCATGAAGATGTTAACTTTCCACACTATCAAAAACAAAAAAGCTGGAATGAACCTCCAATCAGTATGGGAAAGTGCTATCAAAGTAAACTTGAGAAATCTTAATTTTCTGAAAAAACTGTTTTAAAATTTCAACTAGCAGTATTGCTAGCCATTTGGTCAGTAAATGTCAAATATTTTCTGTATAGAAATGGCT